ATGGGTATCGGGGGCAAACTCTCCGATGGTTAGTGTCATACCTGACACATAGGAAGATGGTCGTGGTTGCTGGAGGTCAATCATCTCAGCTCCAGGACATCTCTGTCGGAGTTCCTCAGGGTAGTGTCCTAGGCCCAATCATCTTCAGCCCCCTCGTAATAGCTACCTCCATCCTAGGGAAAAGTCTCTGGCTGTCCACTCTTTCTATACTTCTGCTCATTTTGTATACCTCATACAACGATGTTACCATCACTGAATCCCCCACTATCAACATCCTGGGTGTTATCATTGCCCAGAGGGAAGGAGTTGGTAATTTTGGAATGGACTTACGAGTGGGGATCAAGTGAAATGGCTTTATTTTCCCCAGTACTAAACTGGAGGAAACTTCTATTCATCCAGTACTGGACATTGCAGGCAGTGTCTGATACAATAATTTCAAAACAGGGGAGGAGTCTGAGGAAAGTACTGCTGGTCATTTGGACGGCATTTCTGACAGTGCTCTATGTAGGTGAGAAATATGATGGAGCCAAGAATAGTTTCTCAGGAGAAACCAAAGACAATGATGTGGGAGCAGGAAAACAGGCTATTGCAAGTAATACCTGATACCTACCTGAACAGATTAGCTTCATTCTAACCTAAGGGCCTATTCTGAACTGTCTGATTCTACGATTCTATGAAATGAGAGATGGCCACCCAGCTGAATGGCAGCAGGGAGGCTTGGAGGAGGATGGTCTGGTCATTTCAAAGCTACAGATAGATTAAGAAGGATGAGGAAGGGACTGTCTGAGAGCATGGTGGAGGCATGTTTCATTGAAACATTCAAAGGGACAGAGTGTAGTCATAATGTCATTGAGCTAGTAATCCAGAGTCACAGACAAATTTTCTAGCGATATGATTTGAACTCCATCGTGGGAAATGGTGGAATTCGTATTCAAGAAAACGTGATAATTAATAGTAGTCAAATGGTGACTATGTAACCATTGCCAAATGTCATAAAAGCAATTTGGTTCTCCAATGCTCCTTAGGGAAGGAAAGCTGTCGTATTTACCTGGTTTAGCCTACATGCAACTCCTGACTGACAGCAATGTGGCTGACTTTTAACTGCCACTTGAAATAACCTAGCAAGTCACTCTGTTACAAGATAATTGAAGATGGGCAATAAAATCTGGCCCAGTCAACAAAACCCATACCCCATGGAACTATTAAAAGAAAGACTGTTACTTGAAAAGTAACAATGTGCAAGGTTTTGGGGTAAAGGTGGGAGAATGGCATCAGATGAATTGGTCATTCAGAGACCTGATGCAAACACAAAGGAAAGAATGGCCTCCCTCTGTGCTGCATCAACTCTATAATTTTGTGTAATACGAGGACAGCAAGGTAAGTTTGATGTTCAGCAGTTTAATGAGAAAGGATCAAGGGAGCTGGAGGTGGATCTCATGGACCAGATAAGTTTAGAGAGGGTATATGGAGGAATACAGGAGAGAAACTAAAGAAAGATGCAAGTTCATGGTTAAGGCCGCAGGAACATTTTGATGAAGAATAGCCCGATAGACTATCAGAGGGAAAGGACATGACAGTAGCAGCTATTTGGATAGTCTCTATCTAATAAAGAAGTTTGTGCACTTATTACTGAATATTAATTAACTTATTTCCATGCATTGTTTCTTTCACCAGCTGAAGCAAATGGCAGCTATGTATTTCAGGACTTTGACTATTCAGTCCATGGTGGCATTACCAAGCCAGTCTGGTTTTGGACATTATAACCTCGATAGAATTAGACATGCTATATTTTTGTCTTGTAGTGTACTGACTGATAAGCTGAGAAAACAGTATGTGGAAATCAATAGGAGACACCGAAATGAAGGATTCCCGGGACAAACTACCCATCCTTGGTGCATCCATGCTTTTACTGCGAAAAGACATACTCAAGCATGGTGATGGAAGAACCAGAGACATATGTTGATATGTATGACTCTGAGAATATGACAATTAAAGTTGTTGATAAACATGTCTGTCAGATAGTGCCTAAATTCTGACAGCAATCTACAGCTGATAAAAGCTTTGCAGGCTCAACTTGCGTTGATCTGACTTTATTGCATCCTAATTCAACTATTTCAATGCGGTTGGATCAGTTCTTGTTTTCCTTCTCAATGGCTTGAAACAACTGAATGACTTGCTGGCTGCTCAGAGTGGTTAAGACTAAATCACCAAGGTGTGGGATTTGAATCATGTAAAGGCTAAAGTCAGTAAGGACAGCACATGCAGGTGACCGGTTCACATTACAGAAAAGGGTCTCTAGCTTATTCATTAAAAGACATAGCTTACAGCAATTGCAGAAGGAAAACTAAACTGATTTTCTTCAGATTTAAAGTTTATTTTTTCTTGCAAATAACAGAAACAGCTCCCAAGTGTGTGGACATCTGGTGGCCTCTATCTTGTTCAGCTCAGGCTGTTCAGCCTGGGAACAGTCACATTGTTGCTGGCAGGCAGAAAGCCTTTGTCATTGATAACTGGTCACCAGTCCATAGACCTGCTGCCAGCTGAATCTCCACTTGCTGAACCCCTCAGTTCCAGCTTGTCTGCAAGCTACACTTCAACTACTGTTTGAACAAGCAGCCATATAAATGGCACTTACAATCAGTATCCGGTTACTTGTTATCATGAAGTCCTTTTCCTATATCAGTCCACATCAAAAATATTACAAAATAAAAAGACATGGTCTTCACACTTTAATTTTTTTTTTTAAAAGACTGAATTCAAATTCTTCAACTGCCATGGTATCATTTGAACCTGTCGTATTTTGACCAATGATAACTGTTAGACAAGTCACCCAACATGACGACTACTCTGTTTGAGAATAAAGTTGGATTTGACAAAAGAAAACACACTTGATCAAGAAACAGGAGCAGAAATTAGAAGATTTTGCTAGCTTTATGGGAGCTGTCATGGACACATCACCAAAAAATCTATTTGCAAATGGCGAAGCCAGGAACAAGAGTTAGCACAGCCACACTTGTTACTTCCCTTCTCCCTTCTGACTAAATGATGCACAGCTATGTACACCAACATAACGATACTACAATAACACAAATACTTGTCACAGTAGGCTCTTGATGCCAGCAGACAAATTGGTTTTTCTTTTGCTGTTTATCCAAATATATCATTCTGCTTGTGCTTTCAGTTTCACTTTCCCAAAGCAGCACACTCACTTGCTTTGCACTTATAAAACTTTCTGAGCAGCAGCACAGTTACAACCTCTTGGTTATGGGTGTAAGAGGGTTAATATTAAGAAGTGCTACAAGTACCATCTACAATAACATCTTTAGAACATGTGGGTGGACAGAAAAATTTAGGATCTTCAGAAGTAAGACCTAACATCTGGCCCTCCTCAAAGTCTCTCTAACAATGTTAATCATATCAATGTAAAATGTAACTAGTTGCTAACATGCAATAAAATATATCGTTAACTATAAAACACTCATAGTTAGAACAAAACAAAGTTGATTTTTTTTAAATGACAACATACGTATGGAAATGCCATAGTTTACAAATGATTACTTTTTCATGAGTTTAAATTAATCAAAAATACACGCTGAGGCACACAACCTAAAAACTGAAAATTACAGTTTGCAAACACAGTTGCAGAGCGACTCCAATTGAAGGTATGCTATCATACTCCATTAGACCTGCAGTTATCAAAGTTATGCCCCCTCATCCTGCTCATCTCTGCCCCTTTCCAAGTTAGTACTATGGTGTGGAAGAAAGCATATAGTTAATGTTCATTCAAAGTCGTTTCAAGTTATCCAAGTAGAAGTTAATTACTCCTATACAATGATTTTGAAGCTGCATTCTTGTGTATGTATACTTTACTTGAACATTATTCAGACAAAATGCATAAATAGAAACCAAGAAAAGCTTCATGAAAACAAGGGCATTCTGCAGACATAGTGGTAATAATGTCTTCTGTATTTGTGTTGATATGGGATATTTGGATTCACACAGAAGCAGAACTCAAATAATTAATCAATTTCTTCAATAATTATCAACTTTCTATTAAACTCAATACCTGTATGCTCAGTAATCTACAGTAGTATCCAGTTAAGTTATGCCTTGTTATTAAAATTATTCCCCTTGCTTTCACATCCCTCTATGCCCTCACCTGTTGTCTTTCAACTCTCATTACTTCACTTTACCATCAACTGTCAGGGCCATAAACTTTAAAATTCCATCTCGAGACACCTCAACCTATCATTCTTCTTTTTAAGATTATGCTCTTTAAAAGTTATTTCTTTGACCAATACTTTGGTCCTCTGCCCTTAAATACCTTGGTGGTTGAATGTCAAATTTTGTTTACAATGCTTCCGTGTGGTGCCTCAGGACTTTCCATTATGTTAATAGCATTGCATAATACATCTACACTATTGCAGCACAATAAACTAAGAGCAAATTTTAACATTTTAAGCTGTTTGAAATGTATTCACACTGTTGTGACAGTTCTTTATTCACATACACTTGTTATCTATTGCTCAGATGTGACTATTGCAATTAACAAAATAAATTCAATAATAGATGGCATGTGCTTGCAACTCCCATGTCAGTGCATGATGCACCAGTGGTTGAGAACCAACAACTAAATTAGCTTAATTACTTGAAGCCAGTCTAAGTCTTTCCTCTGTTGCAGGAGTAACCATTTACAATTAATGAATGGAGACAGAAAAAACAGCAGATGCTGGAGCCAGAGTCAATACAGTGTGGAGCTGGAGGAACACAACAGATCAGGCAGCATCAGAGGAGCAGGAGAGTCGATCTGTTGGGCCTAGCCTCTTCACCAGTTTTGATGAAGGGTCTAGGTCCGAAACATCGACTCTCCTGCTCCTCTGATGCTGCCTGACCTGTTGTGTTCCTCCAGCTCCACACTGTATCAACTACAATTAATGAATACCATTTGTGTTCAATTTATTCACTGTCAAACACAAAATTTTAGCAAAGTTCATTCTTACAGCAATTCTGTAGAGAAGTCTTGTCCCACAGGCACACAAAGCTGCAACACAAGGAACCGCTGGGTAAGACCAACTAAAATAGAAGAAATAATACAAAAATTAAGTACATTTGGCCTGCACAATAGTTCACAAAACACAATTATTCAGTCACAAAGTCGAGGAACTTTTATGGTCAATCATAAAAACTGCATCAATCATGAAAAGGTCATTGATGCCTTTTCAAGAATGGGAACTTGTTACTGCTACCCAATCTAGACTATAGGTAATCAATCCCAGACTTAAGTTGACACTGAACACCCTTTCAAATTACTTAACAAGCTACTCAATTGTGAAAACAACCATTATTTGTATCAATTAAGAATGCGTAGCCTTAGAACATAGAACAGTACAGCACAGTACAGGCCCTTCGGCCCACGATGTTGTGCCGAACTTTTACCCTAAACCTAAGGTCTATCTAACCTCCACCCCTACCTTATACTATCATCCATATGCCTATCTAATATCTGCTTAAATGCCCCTAATGAGG